GCTAGTGCATAAGAGGACATCAGTAATTATATTAATTACTGAATTAAAGTCAAAAATGAATCAAGAAATATCAGAATATGCATACTGTTTAGGAATATAAAACTAAATATCTAAAGAGATAGTTAACTATTTTTAAAGCAGTTTGCCTTTGGGAAGTGGGTTTGGAGGTGAGTGGAGACGTGAAACAGATTACTGCTGTGTTTTCATTTTAAGCCTGGTACTGTTTGAGTTTTTAAGTAATTTGCATAGGTTATATCGATAAAAATAAAATTAGCAGAAAAAAAAGTAATGCAGTGCTAATAAGTGGATTAGAGAATGATTTACATAGATCCAGAACTGTAAAAATATACATTAAAAGTTAAGAAATGTTTCGGAGTTAGAATCCTCCCTCACAACTGGGATTTATCACTGTCTCAGAATCATTTGTGCACACTTAAAAAACAAACTCAAACGGCTCCATCTCAAGATTCTAACTTATTTGACTTTGGGTTGGGCCCCAGGGAGTCAGTAATTTGTAAAAGAACCCAGCTGCTTCTGATGTATGGCTAGGGCTAAAAGAGGGACCCTCTCCTGTCCCCATTCCCTATAATTTGGCAAGCAAGGGGCTAACAGCTGATGAGGGGTGCAGGGGGCTTCCAGAGCAGCTCCCGCTCTGCAGCTGACCTGCGTTCCCATGTGGTTTAAATGCCTTTGCTTCTGCTGCTCGTGTTTCTTGTCTTCTTCCTGTCCTCTCTCACTGCTTCTGCTTCAAGTCCAATCTTCTCTGTCTCTCAGTTCTGAACTAATGTGATCTGTCTGGGGTCAGAAGAGTAGGAGGAGAGAAAGGAGAGATATGGGAGAGGTCATTTGGATGGCCATTCATATTGGCTGTACAGAGAGCCAATATTTGTTTCCTTCTGTTTTGCAGAAACTTCTTAAATGGGTGGCCTTGTCTTGAATTTCCAGTGAAGTAATTTTAGAGCTCAAGTGCAAGTAAATTTGAACTTAATGACATTTTGTTATTTCTTTACCTCCAGTGTTGCCCCCTGAGGCTGAATCAGCTGCACCCTCAGGTTACCCCCAAGGTTCTTTTATCTCCCCTGGGTTTTGTGCCCGACACGCCCAGCTGTGGTCTACCAGGCATTCACCAACAGCAGCATTTCCATTCCGCACCTAGAATCACCAGCAGTGTTCACTGCTGCTTAGTTTTCTGTGAGGGGATTCTTAGAAAGGAGATTAACAAGCAAGAGATTTAGGAATATGAGAATTGTATAATTTCACAAGGTTAGAGGTGTTGTTGAATTAGACTTTGACTATGGAGATTTTGTGTACCTTAAAGGAGAAATGTTTGTTGTGTGGATAAGAGAAACATTTTAGACCTCAGGGAAAAACTTCTCTTAAAAGAAAAACAAAACTAGCTTTAAATTTTTTTTAAATATCAACAGTTACAGATACAGTTAGTTTCCTTGGCGCTTTTCCCCAGTCCCATTCCCTGCCTCCCTGGATTCAGCAGCTCTGGTGAATCCGGCGCCAGTGATCTGCTTGTAACTGTTTAACGTCAAGCCAGTGCCCTGCGCCACACAGTGCGAGGGCTGGCCTCTAGCACTGTGCTCAGTGTATGAGAAACTGTCCTGGCTGGTTTCTGAGGGGTTACTTTACAGTTAATACGTTTATATAGCAGGGCCAAATTGTGATCTCTAAGGTGAGGGATTGATCCGTCCATCAGTAAGTCTGATTCAGAGCTTGCCCCCCTAGTGCAAGTCTCTTCTAGGTCAGTGCTTCTCAGACCTCAGTGTACATGCAAATCACTTGGGATGGCATTACATTGCAGATTCTAATTCAGCTGATCTCAGATGGAGCCTGAGCTTCTGCATTTCTAATAAGCTCCCAGGGGCTGCTGCTGGTCCTCAGATCACGCTTAGAGAAGCAGGGTTCTGGCTCGTGGTTCTCAACTCTGGTTGCTCTGTAGAGTCACCTGGGGGCTTCTAGGACCTGTCGTTGGGATTCTGATATAGTTGGTCTAGGGAGGGGCCCAGACATTCTATGTGTGTGTGTGTGTGTGTATTTTTTTTAACTTCCCAAGTAATAATACTGTGCAGATAGGATTTAGAACCACTGTTATAAGCTCTGCATGCTTTTGCTGTGACTCATAGGTAAAGATCTTCATGTGTGGATTTTGTAGCAATCTGGGAAGCACCTTAAGTAACCTTTATGATACAGATATACCTGCTTTATGGATACGGTCCATGGAGAAGGGGTTCCTCTTGGACTGCTTGTGTCCTGGAGGTGAGGTGCAGGTGGCTATCAGAGAGGCATACCTAAGAAGAAAAAACAGCGTTTTCTTTAAAACTCAGATGTCACCTAATATAGGAAGGATATTTAAAGTGATGAACAAATACAAAGTTGGTATGTCCTTTTTCAGGGGAACGTTCTGTTTTCTACATCCTTTCAGTAAGAGAGCATGGGGACACTATGTTATGAACTTCGATGCTCTATGTTTTCTCCAGAGAAGGCTATAAATTTACTTTCTATGTATATGTTTACCTATAAATATATGTGCTTGCAAAGTTTCAGCATAGCCAGAATTCTAGTACTTTTCCTTTGCCAAGTATTTAGAAAAATTTACAGTATCTACTATGCATTTACTTTTAGGTTTTAACTTGTCTTAAAAAATTGAGGACTTACCATCCTGGTAAAGTGACAGTTGTTATTCTCAGGCTCTCGCAATGCTAGTGGCAACTGATGGTTTGATTTGCTCAAAAATCATAGGCCTTAGCTCAGTTCAAATGTTAATTGCTTTGTTATTATTGTAAGGATGGTCCTAGAAGCAGATGATACAATTATATATATATTAAAAGTATGTTAAGTACAATTTCTTGGAAACAATAAGCATTAAAACCAGTGGATTAAAATTAAATATAATTGTGCTGCTAAGAAATTAGAATCCTCTGTTCCACCTCCCTACCATTCAATCATAAAAAAGGGCTTTGATTTTATTTCCTTAACATTAGTTTGTCTATTTCATGGCCACTGACTTCAGTCAGATTCTCATTATTTCTCATTCATGTTAATTTCCTTACTGGACCTCGCTCCTTCCAGTCTCTCTTACAGCCCTTCTGCCAGAGTCTAGAGTCCTCTATGGTGGAGGAAAATCTAGGACTCTCCCCTGTCTCAGGATAAAGGCCAAATCTCCAGAGTGTCATGTAGAGCCTTCTGACCTGGTCTTACGTTTTTCCACCCTCATCACCTGTCACTTCCTTAGACAACCTTTATTCATTCCTTAGGTGAGACTGAGGATTGAGGAGGAAATATTGGAGACTTGAAAGAAGGTAATGATGTGAAAGAGCAGTTTAGGAGAGAGGGAGAGTAGGTGGCACCTAGGGACACGAACTGTGACTGCTGGGCAGCAGTGACGGTCTCTGGAGGTAGGTGAGGATGGACGTAGGGTGAAACCAGCCCTGGCTGCAGGGGTACAGGTGTGGAGAAGGTGGGCCTTGCATCCTACCTGTTGCCTGGCTAGGCCAGTCCACTTCTTGTCTCTACTTTCTCACATGCTGGGTCCTCCATCTAAAACACTTACCTTGTCTCTGCCTGGGAAAAACATCTCTTCTCTTAAGAAACCCCATTGGTCATTTCCTCCTCTTTCCAGACGTTCTCCTTTAGCCCCACATTTGGTCATCTGCCTCCACTCTGTCCCTGCTGTTCCATTGGCCAGTGGTTGTTACTGCACTTGCCACGCCATGGCAAGGATCTGTCAGACTTGTCTCTACAAGACCGGGGACAAGGGCAGGGAGGCGATCTTTTGATGTCCAGCTCATATCACAGTGCCTGGCATGTGTATTAAGTGCTGGATGAATCAACACAAGATTTCTCTGTAAAGTGATGTACTTGTTGGATTGGACGTCATTTAAAAAGTGAGTTCCACTTGGTAGTACATGACATGAAAAATTGTATTGCTTTAATTTTAGTCTGATCTCCCCAGCCAAATATCCAAGTTAACAAAATCTTTCCAGATATACGTGTATACGTGCATGTGTATATACATACATACATACTTGTCCACAGGAAAATGGAGGAAAGTTAAAGAGCTCAAAGAGCATGAATAAATACTAAATATCTGGGGTGACAGACGTCACTGAGGCCTGCACAGCGCACATGGTTTCTCTGTTCTCTTCCAGATGGGCCTCCTGGACTAGTAGGAAACAGGTTAAAACCTTAAGGAACATGTGAGCCAGTATTAAACACATCTGTATTCAAATCGTGTTGAAGTTACGAAGATAAAAACACAGTTTTGAAAAAGTTTTCCCAATCACGTAGAAATATATGGAGATTTTAACTGCCGAAACAATCTCATAGCGTTTACAAATGAATAAAGCCCAGAGAGAAATTAAGGGATGCATTTTTTTCAGAGATGACTATTTCACATTTTTTCTCAGGAGTGAAGGGACTTCAGTTCTGTCGTGATGTGTCATTAAAGGGCTGTGGTGTCAGACAGTCTTCCTCACCTCTCTAAGCTTTAGTTTCCCCATGTATAAAATAGGAGGTTTGGTCTGAATTATTACCAAGGTCATTTTGAATCATCTGTGATTCTGGAAAGTTATGAAACAGCCTGTAACCATGGTGAGGAAAGTTGATTGGTGAGTCCAAAAATAGACTTATTTTCTCCTTCTGCATAACATTGATGCTGTCCCATTGAGTAAGTCACTCTGTGTATATTGCCTTAATAAACCAATTTCTTGATTTTTTTCTTATTGCTAAGTGCTCAAAAGTGAATGAAAAATTGCCTTAAGAAGTACCAAACAAATAGCTCTTGTCTCTTGTTTCAAATATGGAACTGAATTGTTGTGCTCTTTTGCATTCCTGTTGTGGGTATTCAGAAAGCAGAAGGTGGTGATTTGGTAAATATAGAAACGATTTCGCATCAGTTCCTGCTGTGTTTTGTGTTTGTGTGAGACCCCATTCAAAACATGTCTTATTCTTCCCTTAAAATATGCTTTCCTTCATTTTTGCCTTTCTGCTGGTGAAAAGTCTATATCTATAAATACTTAGGTTTTGTCCAGATCCTTAGGTATCAGTTATTTTTCTCTGTTAACGTACGAGTAATCTAGTCAGAAATCATTACGTTTTATCCCTAAGCCCTTTGATGTGTGCCACCATCAGCCTGTCCTCAGTGCAGTGATGTCCTAAGGGTCATCCTTGAATCACTCTGAGATTACAAGGTCCACGGCCACACCATGCCCCTATGGGACTAGCCCTGTCTGGAGCACTGCACTGAAATGAGACGTCTGGACCTCGTTGAGCCAAGCACAGTGCTGAGAGGCAGTCTCCCTGTCTGTGAGCATCCCTGCTGGATCCCACTCTTTGAAGCAGAGAATGAGCTCATTGAATGAACATCTTAAATGCCTAGAGAGGTAACGGAAATTTAATTTTCATTTTCTTTATTCTGTAAGAATATATATTCAAAGTATCACATCCTTAACTAACTGAGATTACACAAGTCACTTGCTCTCTCGGAGCCTTAGTTTCCTCCTCTATGAGGTTTGGATTTGATGTCTACAATGACTTTGGCTTCAATTTTTTTTTCTTTATACCTTTGTCATACTCTCTCCAGCCCTGAACTGACTGATGGCAATCAGTAGTCTTAAACTTCAGCAAGTCTCAGTTCCTTCTCATGCTTCTTCCTCAGACCAGCGTGGTTCATTTTTCCACCCCACAGGCATTTGCAGAGATTGTTTAAAAGCACTTATGACAATTTTAGTAATTTATTTTGCTGTTCATTTTGAGACCAGATGAACTCAACAACTCAAGTTTGTTTTGTTTGTGTGCCTGGATAATAGCATAAAAATAAAGCATTCTTATTTCTGTGCTTTTTTTTCCCCAGCAAGCATAACTGTCTTTATTAATAAGAATTAAGCTAGTAAGCTACTATTGACTTCAGCTATGGGGTAATAGTAAGAGAGCAGTCCTTTGGTATTTACCCATATTCTTCATCACCAATCAAGATCTTTGTTCTAGTAAGTGTTTTCAAACTGCTGAAACTAAAAAGTCTGTGGAAATGGGGTTAGAGAATGTTTTAGGACAGGATAAGTTTGTTTATTCATTCAGGAAATACTCGCTGAGTACCTTCCAGCTAGTCTTTGGATTATCAGTGAACAGAACAAAGATCCTTGACCCAGGGGAGTTTTTTTCTGGCAGGGGAAGACAGACAGTAATCAATAAGCATAATAAATATTTGTCTTATGGTTTGTTATAAAGTGGTCGGATCTGTGGAAAAATGAAAAAGTTGAGCAAGAAAAGGAGATGAAAGGTGACAGGGAGTGGAGAGCTGGGCTGCCATGTGAATGCCGTGGTCAGGAGAGGAGGTGTGGTGTGCAGACACTCTCCCAGAATGTCCACACTCTAATCCCTAGACCCTGTAAATAGGTTAAGGTCTGTGGCAAAGGGTCTTTCCAGCTTTAATTAAGATATAGAGATCATCCTGGATTATCCAGGTGGCCCCATCAGATCAGTAGGACCTTAAAAGTAGAGTAAGTGGTTTGAGTCAGAGAGATGTGACTGAATTTGGAGCAATTCAAATGTAGGAGAGACTTAACCTGCCGTTGCTGGAGAGGGGCCATGTAGAAAGTATGAGAAGGAAGGAGATCAGCCTTGAGGAGCAAAGACCAGCAAGGAAACGCGACCTCAGTCCTACAGCTGCAAGGACTTGAATCTAGCCGAAAATCTGAATGAGCCTGGAAGCAGACTTATCCCCAGAGCCCCCCAAGACAAATGCAGCCTTGCTGACACCTTGATCTTGGCCTTGTGAGACTGAGCAGTGGACCAGCAGAACCATGCTGTACTCAGACTTCTGACCTACAGAACTAGGAGGTTATAAGTAGGTGTTGTCTTCTCATGGCAGTAGTAGAAAACTAGCACAGGGGATGAAGACGATAGCCAGGGCTATCAGGGCAAGAGCATTTCAGTGAAGAAGACAAGGAGAGCCAGGTACTAGAGTGAGGTCCGCCTGGGGCGTCAGAAGGACAGCAAGTGGCCGGCGTGGCTGGAGTGGAGACGGGCAAGGGATGAGTAGGAAGAGGTCAGAAAGGCAACTGGGGTGGAGGATGGAGACCACAGGGGGCCTTGGCTCTTATTCCCAGTGGCCTAGGGAGTTCTTGCAGCATTTTGGTGAGAAAAGCAACATGATATGACTTAATTTTTTAAAGGATCATGCTGGCTGCTCTGAGAATAGACTATAGGGGAGAAGCTGGAGACGAGTTAGGAAGCGACAGCAGAAATCCCAGTACGAGAGGGTGGTGGCTTCTACCAGTGGTAGTGAGATGATAAGTGGTCAGTTTCTGGATATGTTCTGATTATAACGTCTACTTCTTTGTGACTTAGATATGAGATATGTGAGAGAGGAGAGTCAACGGCGATTCTGTAGTTTGGGGCCTGAACAACTGGAAAGATGCTGTTGCCATCAACTGAGACGTAGAAAGCGGTGGGTGGCGATCTGTGGTGGGGGCAGAACTGGAATTTAGTTTGACATAGCGAGGATGAGGACTGCTAGATTTTCCCTTTGCAGATGGAAAGTGTGGTAGGCAGAATAATGATCCCCAAAGATGTCCATGTCCTAATCTCCAGATCTTGTGACTATGTCCCCTTAGGTAGCAAGAGGGACTTTGCAAATATGATTAAGTTAAGGACCTTGAGGTGGAGAGATTATCCTGGATTATCTGGGTGAGACATAAAAGTGGGGAACCATTCAGAGGGAGATGTGACTTGGGAAGAATGGTCAGAGAGATGTGGTATTGTTGGCTTTGAAGACAGAGGAAGGGGCAACAGGCCGAGGGATGTAGGTGGCCTCCAGAAGCTGGAAGTGGCAGAGAAACCCATCTTCCTCAAGAGTCTTGAGAAAGGGACACAGCCCTGCCAATATCTAATTTTACTCCAGGGAAATCCATGCCTGAGCTGCAGAACTATGAGATAATAAATTAGAGCTGTCTTAAGTCACTAGATTTGTGGTGACTTGTTACAACAACTGTAGAAAACTAATACACAGAGTAAGCAGCTGGACATGAGTCTGGAGGTGAGGAAAGAGAGGTCTGAAAGCATTGGGATGGAATCTAAAGCTGTGGGGCTGAACGAGACCACCGACAGGATGAGCAGAGGCAGAGAAGAGGACGGACGTGGGCCCACCGTTGGCACTCAGCGTCGGGAGGTCAGGGAGAAGGAGAGACTAGCAAAGCACACCGAGAGTGATGCCCCAGGGAGATGAGGGCAAACAAAGAGAGGGTGGTGGCCTGGAGGGGGCAGGTGAAGCAAGCACGTCAAGGAAGAGGGAGTGATTGCTTGTGAAACCTGCTGCTGACGGGTTAAGTAAGATTAAGAAGATTTGCTGTGAAGGGAAAGGGAGCAAAGAAAAGGAGCAGCCACTTTCAGGAAAAGTGGGGTCAAGAGAACTTTGTTTTCATTTTTTTAAAGTGCCATTAAGGACGTGTTCGTGTGACAGGTGCTCTTCCCTGAGAGCAAGAGTTGAAGGCAACAGATGAGAGAGGAGCTGGGTGTGTCCTCAGGCAGGCAGGAAGGATGGTGTGTGGGAGGGCATGAGTTGGCGCCTCCTTCGGGAGGAGAGTGGTGAGTTCACTGTGGTGCCTATAGGAAAGGCGGAGTGGAGGGTGGGTGAATGTGGGGTGAGTGTGTGGGTAGCCCCTTCTGATGCCTCCATTCTCTCAGTGGAATAGGAAGCAGATGAGAACGAGGATAGGGAAGGTGGTTTGAGGGATTTAACAAACGAGGGCCATGTAGTAAGATCGGCTGAAAAGCCCATTAGAAATTTGTGATCATGATTTGGAAGGAGTAAAGGCCACCACGCACTTTTGAGAAAAGTGCTTCCTAATACTAAATACCTCCTCCCTCAAAAAAAAAAAAGCGCCAAATATTAAAGGAATATGTGAAGTGAAATTATGCAAGGAAGCCCAGTATTTCCTTATCTTCTTATCATTTCTATTACTGCCTACATTACTAGAAGATAACTTGCCTTATAGGGTTATTAATACTCCTAAATTGTTGACTATAAATCATATTTTGCCAAATCAAATTTAAGTGTTGTCTGGATTGATCAGAAAACATAAGTATTGTGAAAAGACACCTAAACTAATTTTAAAAATAAAAGACTTTCTTGATCATAAACTATTGGTATATTAGAAACTTTTACATATGGAAAGGATGCATTTCCTTATACTAGTGAATTTCAAAGTTTTTTTGCACTCAAAAGGCACCCCTGAGAATCACCCAGGTCAGTGATTTTCAAGGGGATTCTCCATCCTGACGGAGAGGGAACTGGTATAGTTTGTAAATGCTCCTCCTTTCCACTTCTTCCCTCTGGCCCTGAGAATGGCCAGCCTGTTGCAGCCAGGAAGACAGTAGTTCTGAATCCTACTCATTTAAACCTCATTATTGAGCATCTCATAGACCCTGCCATTCAGTGTGTTTAGTGAGTGAATTCCATGCACGTAAAACCTCCCAAGCTGCCGATGCTTCTATGTGTTTCCCTGAAGTGAAGCATCCAGTTTTTAGAAATTAGAAACAGATTTCTAATCTTAGGTATCTAGGTGCCTAAAAGAGTGAACAAATAATGATTTGTTGTTTTGGCCTCACAGCACTGATTTAAACAGCTTCAGAGGAGGAAGAAACATTACTCACTTTGTCTGGACTCATATTGCCATTTAGCAAAGAGTTCTTCAAGTTCTTCTCAAGATGATCCATTCATTCAATAAATGCTGATCCTCTATGAAGGGCCAGACTCTGGGGGAATCTACAGCAGTGAACAGAACAGCCAAAAGTTATCCCCCCTTATGGGGCTTATGTTCTAATAGGTTGAGACAGTCAGTAAATACGTAACATGTATAATTTGTGAGATGGTGAGAAATGCTGTGGAGGGAAATCAATCCAGAGAAGGGAAATGAAAGAGCCAGGTTATGTTAACCTGCCCAGTGATGTTCCTGGGGCTTTTTCCATCTTCCCCAGGTAGAAGCCAGAGCCCTTCAGTGGCCCAGAAGGCCCTCGGTGACCCAGCGCCTCCTCTCCCTGACCTCAGCCCTTCCCAGTTCTCAGCCACGCTGGCCTCCTCGCTGTTCTTTGGATATCCGCATCATTCCGCTCATGACATATTGATCTCTCTCCACGTAGCCACCTTCCTTCAGATAACCATAAGACCCGGTCCTCATCTCTTTTTGGTCTTTGCCCAGACTTTGCCTTCTCAGTGGTACCTTTCCTGACCACCTTAATTTAAATCACTCTCCTAACCCATCCCTGGCACTCTTTCCTCTCCAGGAGGTCACCTCCCAGCATAGGAGGTGACCAGATGCCACTGGTTGGACATAGCCACAAATGGAGCAGTATCACTGGCTTCCTCTCCAGGCGGCAGCTCTGC